GTCGGGATTCCAAAATTCCCCTCCGAATAGCTTTGAGCAGTTCTTGCACAACTACGCCAACGAGCGCCTGCATCAGTTTACGACTCGCCGTGTCTTCGAACCTTTTGAAGAATATGTTCGGGAGGGTGTCCGATCCGCGCGAGTTCCTCATCAGTCTAATGATGTAACAATGGACATGATTGCGGGAGACAAGGGTATCATAGCCGTTCTGAACACCGAATCCGGCAAAATCCCGCCGGCCAGCGATGCCCAGTTCGTCGAACGCCTCTGTGCCTCCATGTCCAAGGAATCTTCTTTTGTTGGTCGGCCTACGGAAACGTCATTCAGCATCAAACACTATGGCGAAATTGTTGACTATGATGCGTCCGGGTTTGTTGAGCGAAATACAGACGCCCTCGCTCCCGACTTCGTGTCCATCTTCCGCGGCAATGGCAACGATATCCCCTCCTCAGCCAACGCGTTCTTACGTGACCTGTTTTCCGAAAAGGTGATTGCTACCGTGCGGCATGCTCGCGACCATGGGGTCGTGACTGCTGCACAGCAGCCGCAAAAGCCAGTGCGCCACCCATCGCTCAAAAGGCGGAGCGGAAAGAAAGAAGAGAATATCCCAACCGTCGCGTTCAACTTCCGCTCAGCCATCAACGAAATGGTTGACACCCTGGAAGAGACCATTCCGTGGGTTGTCATGTGCATCAAACCGAATAACGACCTCAAGAATGACCGTTTCGATCCAGAGAAGGTCCTTTCACAGATCCGCGGCCTCGGTATTGTGCAGGTGGTCGCTGCTCGCGCCGCAGCCGACTACACAACCAATTATACGTTTGACGAGTTCCTCGCTCGCTACCAGGAAATTGTAGGGCCGATGCGTTTAGATACATCGGCAGGCCCGAGCGGCCAGTGTGAAGATTTTGTCATCCAGTCAAAATGGACCAACCGGGAGATGGCCGTGGGAAGAACGAAGGTGTTCCTGGCGGAGGCAGCGTGGCGCTCCTTGGAAGACGAACTGCGCATCATTGAGGAGGAGCGGAAATTGGAAGCCAAGGCGGGGGTGGACGACAAAAGGCGATCACGAACCGACAGCTTCATGTCTGCGAACCAAACGGATGGTCGCTACAGCAGCGATGTACCGTATGACGACGACGCTTCTTACTACGACGACAACGAATCCCATTACGATTCCGAATTCGGGTTTGACGGCCAATCACCGCGGGGATCGCAGGCCACTACCGCAGCCATGTCGAGCAAGGATATTGAACTTGGTCGAATTTCGGATTCGAAGAAAGGGGATAACGGGACGGTTCAAGTCACCGAGGTGACGGAAGAAGAGCCACGAAAGGTGACCTCTGCCCGCAGGAAATGGGTCTGTCTCACGTGGACTTTGACTTGGTGGGCGTGGCCGTGCTGTTTGTCTTGGTGCGGAAAGATGAAGCGGAAGGATATTCAAATGGCATGGAGGGAAAAAGTGGCCCTGTGCATCCTCATCTTTTTGATGTGCTGTGCTCTCTTGTTCTTCATTGTCGGATTGGGACGGATCATCTGCCCTAAGCAGAACGTGCTGAGTACGTTCGAGCTCCAGGAGCGAAATGATCCAAGTGATCCGTGGGTGTGGGCGTACGGGCGCGCGTACCAAATTCGCGGTCTTTACGACGATCATGTCGAAAACGGCTACGCGCAAAGCTTCCAGATGACTGGGCTGCTCGGCACGGATGTATCGAAGCTATTCTTCCCCCAAAATGACTTTGCGAGATTATGTCCAACTTTTGTGCGGCCGGCGGCCCCGGATTGGGACAACATTCAGAATCGGGGTTCCACTGCTGTGAGTCAAGATTACTCCCCGCACAACGCGACGGATAATCAAGGGCATCCCAAGAGATACCTTGAGTACATGAATCAGTACGCGAAGAGCCGGGTCGCTTTCCGAAGGGATTTCATTGCGGAGCACGGAAATAAACAGAACCGACTGCTCATCATCTACGACAACGTTTATGATGTGACTACGTACTTCCGGGAGCCCTTCTTCCCTGACGAGGTAACAGCCCTTTTTGACGAGTTTGGCAAAGATGCAACCGGCGGGTGGAAGTCTTTTGCACGTAAGGACCCGACTACGGCTCGGAACGTGCTCACTTGCATGAACAACATGTTCTACATTGGCACGGTGGACCACCGTAATGATCCGCAGTGCCTGTTCTCAAACTACGTCCTTCTCGCAAGCACTGTGGTCATCGTCGCTATTATCGGGTTCAAATTCTTGGCTGCTCTTCAATTCGGATCCCGCAAAGACCCCGAAGAGCACGATAAGTTTGTCATTTGCCAAGTACCCTGCTACACGGAAGGTGCAGAGTCTTTGAGCAAGACCATTGATTCTCTTGCAGTTATGCGATACGATGATAAGCGAAAGCTCTTGTTTATCATTTGTGACGGTAAGCACGGAGCGTTGGTTGACACACGGCGAGATTCACAGTTTCAGAGCCGGCGCCACTCACTATTTTTGGTCTGCCACTGCAGGTATGATTATCGGTGGAGGCAATGATCGCCCTACCCCTCGTATCGTCCTTGATATCCTCGGCGTCGACCCCAACTACGATCCCCAAGCGCTCAGCTTCCAGTCCCTGGGTGAAGGCGACTTGCAGCACAACTTGGGCAAGGTGTACTCCGGTCTGTACGAAATCCAAGGGCACTCAGTGCCGTACATTGTAGTCGTCAAGGTCGGCAAACCTACCGAGAGACGTCCGGGTAACCGCGGCAAGCGCGACTCTCAAATGCTTGTAATGCGCTTCCTCTCCCGCGTCCACTTCAACTCTGGCATGAACCCGCTGGAACTTGAGATTTATCACCATATGAAGAACATCATCGGTGTCAACCCATCGTTCTACGAGTACATTCTGATGGTTGACGCCGACACAGAAGCTTTCCCTGATTCGCTGAACCGGATGATTTCCTCCATGATTCATGACTCCAAGATCATGGGTCTGTGCGGCGAAACCCTTTTGTCGAATGAAAAGGCATCATGGATCACCATGATTCAAGTGTACGAATACTTCATTTCGCACCATCTCGCGAAGGCCTTCGAGTCTCTGTTCGGTTCCGTCACCTGTTTGCCCGGGTGTTTCTGCATGTACCGCGTTCGCACACCGACAAAGAACGTGCCGCTCTTGATCGCACCCGCTGTGATTGAAGACTACTCGGAAAACAAAGTCGAGACCCTTCACATGAAGAACTTGCTTCATCTTGGCGAGGATCGTTACCTTACGACCCTGATGATGAAGCATTTCCCGAATTTGAAGCTTACGTTCACGCAAGATGCACAATGTGTTACAAATGCTCCCGATCGCTGGAGCGTCTTGCTTTCTCAGCGTCGTCGTTGGTAGGTTTGCGGATATGGACCATTTTATGGAGTGCTTCTCCCTCATTAACAAAACCACTTAGGATCAACTCTACGGTTCACAACCTCCTTGAGCTTCTCTTTCTGCCCCAACTCTGTGGTTTCTGCTTCTTCTCAATGCGGTTCATCGTCTTCATTGACTTGTTCTCCACCTTTGTACAACCTGCCGCGATTCTGTACATTGGTTACCTGCTCTACACTGTGTTTGCCACCGATGAACTGTTCCCGCTCATGTCGGTCGTGATGATTGCGGCAATTTACGGATTACAAGTAGTCATCTTCATTTTGAAACGACAATGGGCGCAGATTGGGTGGATGATTGTGGTACGTACACATGCGCCGGCATTTCGCTACGTTCCTGCTGCTCTTGATTTTTACGTATACCTCGACTTCCTTCTACAGTACATTTTGGCCATGCCTGTGTTCAGTTTCTACATTCCTATCTATGCCTTTTGGCACTTTGATGATTTCTCGTGGGGTAGCACGCGTGTGGTGACGGGAGAAAAGGGAAAGAAGGTTGTGGTGGCAGATGTTGTCAAGGTTTGTGTCTTGTACTTGTTTTGCAGGATATCGTCCCCGCCATTTCTTGCTAAAATTTTCTCGTATCTCAGTTCGACCCCAAGAGTATTCCGGTCAAAAAGTGGTCGGACCACGAGGCAGAAATGTGGGAAAAGAACTCTTCCCAATCCGATTCGCGTGGCTCGGAGAGCAGCGAGTCCAAACGCTACCATAACCCGTCTGCCTACGGTGGTTCCGTATACGGCGGCACGGCACCGTCCGTGTACACCTCGCCTTCGGTGTATGGAGGGGCCGCACCATCAGTATACTCTGGTTACGGAGGCTCACCGGCTGGTGGTGCTGGCTCCGTGTATGGGGGATCGGTGGCCGGCAGCGTGGCAGGAGGCCCACGTGGGCAACCCGCATACCCTGAAAAGCGCTACTCGTACGCGAGCATGAACAGTGGGGTGACCGGTGGGGTGCTTCCTAGTGATGAAGAGATCTTGAGGGAAGTGCGGCGGATCCTCTCGACCGGCAACTTGATGACAATCACCAAGAAACAGGTCCGAGATGAGCTGAGTGCCATCTTTGCATGCGATCTTGCACCGAAAAAATCGGTCATCAACCACTTCATCGAGGAAATATTGCAGGGCCGATTGTAGTTGGGCTTGGTGGACTTTCGGGGAGCGGTTGGGAAAGTGGGGCTTGGGAGGAAATATGTGGATAATTGTCTCTTAGACGTCTAGAGTATCGGTTGTATTTCTTTTGTTTTTTTTACACATTGTTTTATCCCATCAGTAGTTGCACACAACCGGGTTGGGATGCACCCTTTGTTTTGATCCGACCACGGTCCCACAAGACACTCAACACACGCCAATGAAAGAGGAGAGAGTATAGGCTCGTACGGTGGTGCTGATTGGTAGGCGAGGCCCCAATAGGTACAGTAAAATTCGCGTAATCAGGTACCTTCACCCCGTCATTCAGTCGTGCTTTTTCCTTCCTTTCATTGGCCTCTGTAAAAATACATTTGCACCGTCACTTGCCATCTCCACTGCAACACGCCCGCAAACTAGTCACCACCATACCATAAAAAATGAGGACTAGGAACCAATTAAAAAAGTCCGGCCTTCCGGAGTCGAACCGGAGACCCTCAGATTTCATTGTAACCGGCAGGAACCGGTTCCACTACAGTCTGATGCTCTACCAACTAAGCTAAGGCCGGATTTCATATGAAAAGGCCCCTCTAATGGTCTTTTATCAAGGGTAAGGATTCGAGACTGAATGATCGGACGTGGGGCGGACGATAACAGCTACATCTATATAGGGGTGTTGCTGATGAGTTTGCGGCATTGATATCTTGGAATAAAGAAACAATGGCGTGTGTTTTCTACTAGGAGTTTTTCGGATCCGAAGGATGCTTTCGTTAGAAACAAGGTACATCATCCGTTCTTCGGGGACAAGGAAAAGGGTATGTATGCTCGACACCGTGTGATCGAAACGGCAGCTGAGGGCGCCCAGGACAATGATTTCATGCTGTTTCGCGCATTACGGGGACATTGACGTAAAGGGTGGTGGGCAGATGTCGTGACATGATAGTTCCTTGGAACACATGTAAGGTTCACCTTTTCACCATCTCCAGCTTCCACCTCATCAATTATCGCTAGACATTTTTGAAAGTCTGTAGTGTCTTGATCTTCAACCCCGGGTCACCGTTGTTCCCTGAAATCATTCAGGGGTGAGGTGGCTTTCGTGACTTACCTTTTGTCGGAAATTTGAGGCTATTGTGAGCGTACATGATCCGCATACCACTCTCCAACTTCACGCCGCAAGGAGTCCAGATCACCGCGAATATGATCCGGGATGTATCTGACGTGTTTGAAGTGAGAGGCCGTGGGCAGAGTGGCGATAGAAGGAATCCGCGTTTTTACCGAGCGCGTTCCGTTTTGTTGGGAAAAGAATCATAGTATAGAAGCTGGGTTTCGTCATAGAAAGTTAGAAATATGGTTTTTTTGTACGTTTGCATCATTGTTCCAAACGTTGTGGAAATGAACTTTGTGTGGCAGTGGTTGGTTGAGTATAAGAAGAGTTAGCGGAGAAGAGGTTGGGACGTCATGAGAAGCCAGTTTGTAGAATTTGCTGGCTTTCCATACTCGGGAGACTGAAGGAGTTGCCATTTGGGACGATTGGAGGAGTGCCCACAAACAATAAGCAACTTGCCCGGGAGCCCAGATGGATCCAAGTTGATTTTCTTTTTACCGTATTTTTATTTCGTAAAATCCGAACCCAATTCTACATAGCCGAAGTACTTATCAACACAACTCTATGGTCTCCCATCCATCATAGCATCATCCCTACAAAACGGTGAAACACTCCCTACAGCCCCGACGCGTTGCCCCAAACCAAACTCAAAAACCTGCACAGACCGAAGCCGCCACCCCCAGCGAGCCCGAAATAGCGGCAAGCCCGGCACCCACACCCACACTTAGATCGGCTGCAACCGTGCCAAGCAAGCCGAGGATGCCAGACGCGAGGCCGTTGAACTTTGTGCAATCCGGTTTGCCGGCTTGAGGTACGTTGACGATATCGACAGTGAGGCCGGCGCCGTTTGTTTTCTCCTCCCCTTGCACAGCGTTGACCGCCAAGGACTGTGGAGCCATGGCCGTGCTTTTCTGCGAGCCGAATCTTAAGAATCTTATTGCCGGGTCCTCGCATCCGCCCCAGGCGTGGCACCATGCGATGTCGTATGCGTCGCCCCTGGGGTAGAGGCCCGCGAGCACGAGCCTTGAAAGCGCGCCCGAAATATCGCCGTCGTTGTGGAAAGCTACGGTCACGAGGCGTGAGGATCCGCGAGGATATGTGTACTGGTGTTGGGCGTTCGGAGGGAAGGGACGGCTATCGTTAATGCCTACAGAGGGAATAGAAATGAGTCTCATACTTGTTTTGATGATGTAGGTAAGAACTTATTTGTTTCTGAGGCTCACCTCCCCCAATTTGGCCCAGTTGGACAAGCAATCCCACGTTTGCCGCGGGAAAGTCTCCCCAATTCTCTGTTGTATTTTCTAGCAAGCGCCCGACAGTATACTCGAGAACTATGTCAGGCTCAAGGTAGCAGTTGTACAATAGTTGGCACTGCCGGCCATTGCCGTCGCTCTGCGGAGAGCCATTGCCGCGGTAGCAGGCAGAGGGGGCAAAGTTGCCTGCGCCGACAAGTGTGCCAGGGTTTGTGCTGCCTGCGCCCTCGGCAATGAAAAAGCCTCCCGGACTTGGACCCGTCAAGTTTTGGACGGGCCAAGTTTCTCCCTCAAATGCGATGTGAGAGGCGGAGAGATTTTCAGTGAAGAGATCGGGCTTGCCAAAGACAGCGTTCTTGCGGTTGCTGTATCTCCACATTTCGGTGGTACGTCGGCCGTTGGCGCCAGTGCAGTGGACAAGCTGGAACATGTCGTCGGGGAAGGTTTGGCTTTGGATCATGCGGGCGGACGCAGGCGGCGACGCGACGAGGAAGAGAAGCGCCGCAGCGAGGGAGGTTGTCTTTATCAGGGCCATGGCGGCGACAGAGAATTACAGTATGGTAAGAACTTGATAGGTGGGTTGATGCGAGGGTAGACTATCTAGGTAGTCTAGTTATCCTATGCGGGTCGTGGGGGGGTGAGACCTTTTTATATGGGTTCCTCATTGCCCGAAGCGACCAGGGGCCTCTTTGGGAATTTGCTATTGGCAATGAGACCAACGGATACAGCATGGGGTGAGGCCGTTGACGCCGTTGACGCCGTTGAGGCCGTTGACGCCGAACCAACAAACAAATGGGGAGCCATCCATCGAATCCAACTCCCACAACATTCACTTGTCGACTTTTGTCGTTGCAAGCAAGTCTCCTACATACCCGTACGTAGGTAGTCTAGGTAGATAGATACGTAGGTACTCGAGAGTTGTAGGTACCCGGATACGGATACCGTTGAAGGGAAGGTCTGTGTCACCAAAAAAGGTGGTCGTGGAGGTGGTGGCGCTGGCGCAGGTCCTGGCGTTTGAACGCGAGTGTTGATAAAATGGGAGGGACCCGTGCTGGGCTCGGACGTCAGACTGTGTTTCTTCTCGGATTCCCGGTGGGGAATGTTGGGAGTGACTATTCTGATTTGGTGTATGATAGAAAGTTACAGCAATACACAGCTACTCTAACTGCCCATAAGCCCTCGTTGCTGTACAGACCCTCCTGCACAATTTCGTCAAGGAGAGAAGGAGGACAAGGAAGATGGTGGACGTAGCGCAAGGACTCGTTTTTTTTGGTTACACAGACTTTCCTTTTGGGGTTGGGTCGAGCTGAGAGACGTAGCGTCCACCATCTTCCTTCTTCTCCTTCTCTCCTTGACAAAGTCGTGCAGGAGCGTCGGCACAGCGCTGGCACCTTAGGGGGGCAGATTGATCATATGTGTTTTGCTATAACTTTTCAGGGTTACTGGCTCCTATCGCCAACTGACCACCGCCGAGGTTCTCTTTCTTGAACAAGTACACATTGTAGGTCGGGCAAGTTGCCGAAGGCTAGTGTCCCTGCTTGCGATCCAGGGTCTGGATGTGGCTTGTAGGGCCTTGACGCGCGTTTTTGGCCCAAATTTCAATATCATCAATTCCTTTCATTCAACGAAACATTTTAGAGCTTGGGGGTGTTAACAACACCATAAAATTGCATTGTTCAAACGGTGTCCGTCCAGGGATCAGCACAAGAAAGACACCCGTGCCCCCCCTATTTATATCACATCTAAGCTGTCTCTCCCTTCAAGATCTCTCACCGCAAACAAACTCTCCACAAAACGCGTCACGAAATTCCGTCCACCTAAGACCACCGTTCATCCTCTTCCTTCGAACCGTGCACCACTCAGCAATGCTCACGTCGCAAGATAGACCACAAGACGAAAAGGACGATGCGGATTCCCACGTAACAATGCGAGACGTACGTATCCTGCAATGATCCGAATTTAGCACGGGATACCACCTTAACACATTCACCATTGCATCTCGACAGGCCTTTGAGAAATGGTCACAGAGCGGCTTCAGCGGATTAGGATATGTGGATCCTCAAGATCTGGTTATCAAGCTGCAAAGCTGGCTGGCCCAATCCGTCAAGGGTCCCGGACCGTCCTTGCCGACCGTCACCGAGTGGGTCTTGGAAATGGCACGTCATTACCCAGCTTTTGGAAAGTGGTTGCAGGACCGTAAGTGAAAACAATGGTATCATTGTGCCAAGGGATGCACGATCATCGCGCTCATTTCGGACGAAACAAACCAGATCCCAAAAGAACATGCTTGCATGCCACACGAACTGCTGGATGTTCAAGTTCCGGTCAACAACACGGCAGCACCTCATCATCATCAACATCATCATCATCATCCCACAATCTTAGTGCACCTCATTCTACCGCAGTCAGCCAAGCTCAAATTAATAATGCTGTTGCGTCAATGCACGCCCGCCAACAGCACTCCATCGCTGCCCACCATCAAACCGCCGGCGGTACATGGCCGGACGCGTCCACAAGACGCCCCCTAACAGCAACCGAGCTAGCGCACCAGATACTCGAACGAGAGCAGCACGAAGCAGAGCGCGTCCACCGCTTCAACGCCATGCTGCAGGATCCCAAACAATACCTCGCGGCGCAAGCCCAGCTGTACTCTCACCCGCCATCACACGCGCACGGCATCCCCTCCGAACCGCCCGTCAGACCACCCGACGAGTGGAAATACCATGATATCGAAACGGCGTTTGCGGTGCTGACGCGTCAAGTGCGGGAATTGGAGGAAGCTGTCCGGACGCGACCGCCGCCTGGGTATGGGGACATTGTGATGGGTCCGAGTCGCGTCAGGGAAGTTCAGGAAGAGTGGGAGGATGAGAAGATGGTTCATCAAGCCATGGAGAGTCAATGTTGACACAAAGCGAGGACAACGAAAAAGAGATGGGTTTTTAGAATGTGGAGTGGGAGGCTTGAAAAGATTGTACCATATAATCAACATTTTTGGGGACGAAGGGAGGAGCCGGAGGTGGTCTATAGTGGAACCTGTAAATAACTAGAAGACACTCAAAAACCGTAATCTGCCCATAAAAAAACGATAATAATAAACCTTCACTGTCAATAAATTGACTGTTTTTTCGCTGTTTTTTGGTTTCTCTTTTGCTTTTCTGTTGCTGAAACGCCGAACCAAACAGGCCGTGTACTGTCCTCTTCTTTCCTCTCA